CTGTATATGGGTAATTATTTTTGAAGGTGGATCATAAATTTTCTGGGATAATCCTAAAATTTATATTATATATGTATTGTTTAAAAGTTGGATCCAAAAAATTCATATCTAGCATTTTTGTCACCTTCAAAAATAATTACCCATACAGTATATCAAATTGTATAACTATAAATTTTTATTAACTATATAATAATTTAATTAAATTTCAAGAGAATCTAAAATATTTTAACAATTTATAATATTTACCTATTCTTTAATCTGTGTTTAATCTAAAGTTCAAGCAAATTTTCATGATTAGAAAAAATGTTCTACCAATTGAAAAAAAAACAAGCCCACGATGTGCGATGTATCACAACTATCAACCAATACTTGGGTTCTTATGAGACAAAGAACTAAGATCGAATTGATAGAAATGAACATTGATATCTCCCTCGTTTCCCCCGCTTTACAAAATCGAATTAAGAACTTGTAAGCGGTGAATATAAGGGAATTATTTTTTCAGGAATTTCCTCTGTGGAATTCACTACCAAATTATATGCATCACAATGAGCAATTATCGCTTGCATTGCAAACAAAATTTCGTTCGACTTCCACATGGTTGGAAGGTTGTTAGGATTTTTTTTCTTTATTTGTTTTTTTTTTAAGGAATGCGAATCTCCGAAATGCAAGTGATGTGCGGTTTACAAGTGTTTTTTTTTTTCTTTCTTAATTTCGTGAAACCAATACGTTAATAATATTAAACGAATAGTAATGATAATGTCCAACAGAAAAAAAATGAATAAAGGTGCAGTAAAAGTATTCCAACAATGATGCAAAGTTCATGGGAAGGAACAGGGAAAATAATACAAGGAGAAATACTGGAAATTATACACTACGACAATATAAGATGATATTTTGTTCATTGTTCTTTCTGAAGGAATCTTCCTCTTCCCCGACCTGCGGGGAGCCACGAAAGCCGCAAAGTGCCCGGGGCTTCCACCGCGTCGCGGGGTTGTGATTTCCGGCCGAACACCCCAAAAAATATAGCCGAAATAAAAATGCAACTATACATAAAAATATGAAATTCCCGACTAAATATATAAACAAAAAAATATATATAAGTTAGCTTATTATACAACAGCAACCGGACTTTTTGACGTATCCCGTGTCATCTTCATCAACCGCAGTATCCATTCTTTCTTTTTTAATTTTCTTGGACTTTTTGGACTTCTTTTCGTTTGGATCCGATGTAAGGGTCCTCTGTAGGTCTAGCGTCAGAGGAGGAGAAGAGATTTTATTGGGTACATTCAATTGAATTGTTGAGCTAGGAGTGCTTCCTCCTTGTGGAGCTGACTGTGTCGACGATGAAGCCTACGAAACGAAACACAAAATGTTAAATCGATCGAATGTATGTATATAATATATGTGTGTAATAAAAGTAAAAAATAAAGATCCATGATCTTAACGTACATTATTGATCTCTTCCGCTTTACTTTCGTCATGATCGTGTTCAGCGGAATCTCGCTCGGAAGGAAGCAATGTTGTCGTGGTGGACAATGACGGCTCTGGCGTCGGTGACTAAAAAGAAAGAAATGATAAATGATCATGTATAATAAATATGGCGTAAAATAAAACGTGAAGAATTAGTTACCATTGAATAATGTGGTTCAGCAATGTCACCAAATTCGTCGGCTTCATCCTCATCCCTAATTACCAAGATATATTCTTCCCTTCGTGATTTTCTATTACGTTTCTTCTCCTCATCAGATTTGGGATTGCGGCCGGTAGAACTTGGAGTTTCCTCAACTTGTGCATGAAGATCTATCCTTTTGCTATCCTTTCGGTGGACTAAACCTTGACGCACATTACTTGATGTCATTGGTGACGTTTTGTACAGGGAGGCTTTTCTCTGTTGTAATTCGGGAACTGATGATTGTCGTTCGGGCAATTTCATCTGTTCATCATCAAATAAGTTCTCTACCTGGTTAGTGACATCCACGTAACCATTTTCTGATGAAGGGTCTTGTTCATCACTGGTGCCAAGTAAGGCGTCATGATTAGGAAAAGGCAATTGTCCATTCATTTTTAGCTTCTTTGCAATGGTTGGTATAATCATGTCATCATGCGATATTGTAGGTCGTCTTCGCGATAGACTCTTTGGTTTTTCCCAACTTTGTCGCTCATCCTGCCCTAGTTGCACATGTTCCCCTCGTTCTTGCTGCCCTGGCACATCTCCTTCCCATTGCTCCTGTCCTTCCTCTTGTTCATGTTGTTCTTGCTCCTCTTGCTCTCCTCGTTCTTGTTCCACCTGCTCATCCTGGAATTCCTTTAAATAAGCTGTTATAATTGGTCTTGACGGTGATAAACGAGGGATTCTTGATGGCGATGGCGTTGACGGTTTTGAGGAATTATCAATTATCAAAGATCCAGCTGACGACAGAGGACTTGGGGGAATGGGCATCTCCTTCGTCTTGGACGGTGCCTGTGGAATGTCAATCGAATTTGTACGTTGACTCAGCGGCTCTATTGGTGGGCTATTTGGTGGTGTTTCAGGAGGTGTAGCAATTCCATCCATAGGTCGACTCGTAGTACGGAAATCATCCTTATTTTCTGTTGTCATACTCGTTTTTCTATTCTTATTGATATTTTTAAGCATACTTTCCTTGCTAGTGGACACGACCATTTCGTTCGTGTCGTACAAGTCCTTATTTATACTATGAGTCTGATTCTGGTTGAAGGTCTCCTTGGTCGGGGAACCATTCTCCTTATCGCTACCATTCTCTTCCATCGGTAACGAACGTTTCTTGTTGTTTTGAGCACGTCTTGAAACAGATTCATCGTCCACCTTACTCCGCGTTGTTGAAACTGTGGAATTTAAAGTCGTAGCTGTTTCGTCAACTTCCATCTTTTCGGGAAATTTGCTTTTACTATAGGTTATACGTTCTTGCTTTTCCGCTTCTGGACCTACAGAATTCCATAACTTTGTTTTTATGGAAGCATCGAATCCATTGGATGAGGTATTATTTAGATCTTTCAATAGCTTGTTTTTCTGAGAAATGCTGTTCCATTGTTTGTTGTTCGTTGGCGTTGACTGAGTATCGTTTCCAGAATTTTCAAATGTAAACCCGCTACCAGAATTTCGCGGAATCTTATCACGTTTTTTAAATGGATCCGGTATATTTCTCTCTTGTGGATCGAGATTGGGTGGTGGAATTTCAACAAGCTCTAATCCCTGCTTTGAACGTGTAAAATAGACAGTCATGAAAAGTCATTTAAATGCGACCGTAACATTCGACTTCCTATTAAAAAAAAAAGAGAAGGGACCAATTTATACTAACCGAGTCGGTCGTACTGAAACGAATCTCAAACGCAGCGGGGGCAACTTGTTGTCTTCCCACCTGTGGTCGTTTCGGCGTCTCTTTACTCATGAGAACATGAAAGTAGTGTGGACACCCCAGCTATGTGATATTCCTTTGAAGGTTGGAGTTCCTTTACTCTTCAAAGGTCGTAACTCGCTTGCCAACAATTTGTGAGTAATAGGGAAATCGGTAATAATTATGTGGAATATCGGGGAAAGCGAGCAACGTTAACAAGTTCTTTGAGATTTATCTTCCTTTACCCTCAAGCAATTTCTTTTCGTCACTCGTAAAAAAAAAAAAGTTATCAATAGAAAAAAAGACTTTGACAGTGGTGATGGGTTTGGTGCTAGATATAGTGTGTTTGAAATTTCCTTTGCGGTTTGGAAACACAAGAGTCTTTCGTAACAGAGAAAGAAAAAGAAATGGTAACTCTAGGAAAGAAAAGGTTCGTTCAAAGTATGTCAGGGTCTTTCTTTGCTCTGGCAGCCCCGCTGCAATTTTTTTTTTTTTATTTGATAACTTAATATTACTAGACTGCGGTGGCGAAAATGAGAGTGAAAGAGGAGGAGAAAGATAAAATATGTTACTAAAAAAAAAAAAACAGCGAGAAAAGACGACAGGCGAGTGAAAAAATTACAGAATTAGCGAGGATTGGTTACTGGCGACCTATAATTCGAGTGTAAGTAAACACCGCCTTTTTTTTTTTTGCTTGCTACACAAAGTGGTGAATCAAAACTTTTTTGTATCTTATATATATATATTTTATACAGTCCCCATATTAATCGGGGAGTTTATAATATTGCGCATTCAAGTACAACCTCGATATATTGTATAATAAATAATTATATTTGATATACTGTACAAACTGTGCAAACAAGCAAATGAAACAGCCGTCGACCAGTGAGATAATTCGGAAATTTCCGGTCACATTTATTTTTTATTGATTTATTAATATAAAATGAATAGGGGCATGGCAACGTTCATCCGGTTAAATACTTCATTAAAAAAAAAAAAAAAAAGTTGCGGAAGACGTGATTCGTTGAAAACTCGAAATCTTTCAGGCAATCAAATCCCGCCAGAATACACAAATATGCAACCAGATGCTCGATTGCGTTCTTTTTTATTCTAAATTTAAAAATGAATGTTTGGCCTCAGAATGAAAAAAAAGAACTAGACATGCACGATGATTATTGTGAAACACCTAATGGCACTTATTGAAGAAGGAATAAAGCCATGTAAGATAAAACCTTTTATGGAAACCTTTTAGGATATCTGTGGTGATACTCCGCTCTATGTCATTAGCATTTACAAGATTTTAAGATTTCCAAAGGAAGGCTGCCATTAATAAATGAGAGGCACACTCACCTTATGAGGTGAACAAGACTACCTACCTACGTAAATTTAATTATTGCGCATTCCAAAGATCTCGAAGTCTCAAAGGAAACGGGTAATCGGATTCATTCGCCAAACCACCAAAATTCATGTCCTTGATTGTTTTCCCAATCGGTCATCGCATCCAGGTATTATATTGTGTAGCTCTATTGGGTTGGAATTCGAAAATCGAAAGACGAGTGGAGCGTTGAACGGAAAAAAGGACAATAGAAGGGAATTGCATACTTATCTTTATAGCCCACTGTGAAAACCTTAAAATGAATGGTCATATCGTGCGCTTTCCTCATGTGTGGATCAGAAGGTAGGGGTGTACAACGGTCTCTATGCAGAACATATCAGATGATGAGCTGTAGATCAGGGATAGGCGCCCGATATGGGGAAGTTTTATTAAATGTAAGGGCAATTCCCGTGAATAGCGATGTCATTTGGGAGAGGTGATAATTTATGATTATTTAATTCCAGATGACGTTCTTTCAGCTAAAGCAAAATCATTCAATATGCTGAGTCATAAATTCACCAAAAATATCATGTCACATCACTGCGCATGCCTTTATCGGTGAGAAGATGGCAATACCCCAATTATGCGGAAAGAACTGCGAGCTCGTCGTTCAATTAATCCCCGAAAAATGAGTCGATCACCCTCACAGAAGAAAGAAAGTGGAGGCCGAAGCGACATTCTCTCTCCATTTACTCTGTCACCGGTGGTGCAAAGAGTCGACATTGTTGGTTAACCATTGTAACAACCTTTTTTTGGTGATCCTATTCAGTAATCGTGTATTGTGTGATATGAATAATTGACAATCAGTGTTTTCTAATTATCCCGAAAGACTAACGCAATAAATTATCGAAAAACCTGTAGGGAGACCAGTAGTATGCACCACCAAGAACATGGGTCAAAATATAAATAACGACGATACTAAGATTTATTTTCTTCTTTTCTCTCGATCGTTTGAAGTGTAACGCTTGTGATCGAAATAACATACGTCTAGAGGACTTGACCATTACATTGATCTTAGCTCTGAACCTATTATATTGGCGTGACCAATACGACTATTAATTGCCATATAACTTTTCTCTCATGTGTACACATTCTCTTCGTGCCGCGTTGCACATTATTGGTAACAATCAGAAGACAATATCTGAAAATCAAAAAAGAAATTAAGAGATTTTTTTATGCGAATCTTAGGCATTCTAACAGGAAAAAGCGTACTTACCATCTATTTTATTATTATTATTATTACTGGTTTGGAAACTAAAAGTATCGAGAGTTTTGATATACACCTCGATGCTATTATGACCGGAATGTATTTTTCCAAAAAAAATAAATAATAATCAATCGATCAGCAAGAAACATGAGAGAAATTTCTTGATTGGTGAAGGCATAATATGAAATGAATTACCCTTTGTTCACATCGTCATCAATTTATATTAAATTTAGTAGCTCAGTAACACCTAAACCTAAGGAATATAAACAAAATATTCATACTAATGTGTGGTGCACATTCTGTTATGTGTGCATGCGTCTAAGTTGCATGTTGGCAGAATAGCTGAAACAACCATGCCGCAGCACCTCAAATGATATTAACCTTACACCAGAAAATTAGGCGGTCGCTTCATTCATACCTTGTTATTATCGTACTTTTCAAAAAGGACAACAATGGAGTGAAGGTTAATAATGCATTCACGTTTAATCAATTCTTCAATTCTCTCTCTTTCGTTCTTCAAGATCATGATCAAAAGCTCGTGATTAATAATTAGCCGGAATTTTTGTACACAATACGACAACCGTTATATGACGTTGGTCACATTGTTTCCTGGAATAAGAAAAATTAATATAATGGAATATAACTCAAATTAATTGAAACACTTTTAATATAAATTTGCTCGATAAATATTAATGAAATATACTTCTGTGATTGTTGTTAAAGAATATACGTAATTCTTTTTTGTTAGGTAATGTATGGATACAATAAAGATATATAAATAAATATATATATTAGTGGGGAATAGTGTGCGGGGCAACTTTAATTTCGATCCCTGTCCTGTTTAAGACAAAAAATAATCTAGCGGATGAAATTGCGGGAAAAAAATTTTTTTTTTAATTCTACCCTTTGGTGTTCGTGAAATCCTACGATCTGATAATCTTCCTGTTCATGCATCCGCATGCGAACCTAATTTGAATCCGTAGCTTTCTATCGAATTCCGTCGGAAGAAATGACAAAGACAAAAGTCGGTCATCATTTCTGAAACTTACAAGCTTGTTCCGTTCTGTGTTCACAGATGGTTACTGTTTCAAATTAGGCTACTAATAAGTGATATTAATTGTGATGATAAAGAGATACTTCATTCTAACCAATATACACGAATCTTTACCTGTATTTGGATTATAACCTGTTTGCATATTCGACACCACAGATAACTTGTTTACAGACTGCAGGCAGAAGATGGAAAGCTATTCCATAAAGACTAACGATGCTTTTCTTTTCTTTTCTTGTCATATGAATGACCGGCGCGAGGATCCTGTAAGTCCATTTCACGTGACATAAATATACATGGGAAAAAATTGCCCTCGACCTTTACGGTTTATTCCGTCCAGTCCCACAAACATCAACTGATAAACAAGCTCTAATTTCAAAATTATAATTCCATGCCTCTTTGGCACCTTTTCCGGTTCATGTCTCCCTATCTTTGGAAAAACAAACAAATCCTTGCCATACTTACCATTCA